CATTTTTTTTAAGAAATCTGATAAAATGCAGCTTTTTATGACTTCTTCCTTCTTATCTCGTTTACTCAGTGAAAATTCCATCTGGCCAGTCTCCACATCACTTACAATGCGTTCAAAGCAGACGCTACACAAAGTCCCGACTCCTCGATGGCCCAAACGCGGGGCTCTTCACTGACGTGGGGCGCGTTGCAAACCCCCAAATATGCACCCGCTTGTGCTGCGAGGATCCTTCCTGTGACTTGGCCTATATGTTTGGTCGTACATGTTTCCTTGTAAAGTGCTACAGCGAGAGAAGCTGTCGCACGATTCCTGACGAAGACGCTTGGCGCAATGATACTAATTCGGACAGATCCACGCAATACATCGTTACACGAAAGTTTGGTGTAAAATTAAGAGACGGTAAGGGCTTATAAACAACTTAAGATTGCATAATTACCATGAGGAAAGGAAGTGGGCTGAAATCATTTGTTATAAACGTCGGTTATCACCAAAATCTCCCGCTTTAAACGTGAAGCTTCGCAAAACAGTTCCCGGCTAAAAAACCAAACTGGTATCTCTACGGCAAGTATTTTTACTCTATCGAAGTTGTCTCAGCTCTTCCTTACTTTCTACCGTTGGCCCGGCAGCTGGAACGATTCTACAACATAACCTATGCTACTAATGAAACACTTTGGCGTTATTGGGTGTTAAAACTGTTTCATGTATTCAAGATTTCCAGCTGAAAAAAAAATGATTAAAGAACATGTAGTTCATGATGTTTGGAAAGAGTGGATTGACTCCTCGGCGTAGTTCAGAACTTTCTATTTCAATCCACTTCCAAAATTTAAACCGAGCGCAGTCCATGTAAAATTAAATTTTTGATTTATGAGTCAGAATTCAGAATGACGTTGTTTCTGTAAGTCCAATATTTTTAAGATATGTTTGGTTCTGACATCATTGTAAGAGTTCATCGGCCGAAATGAGGTGCGCTGTGTTGCCGTAGTTCAGTGTTGTCTTAAACCAAAGATAACCTGAATGTTTCACAGCAAAAAAAAAATATTTTTATGCTTATCCTGTTCTTACTATTAAAGACGGAACTCCCGTTATACGAACCGAAACAAACCGAGAAGAAGAGTGTCGCCTGGATGGCGAGATAAGGAACAAGACAATTCTCCAGGCCGGCATGGTATCTGGAAAATTGACGCATCACAAAGGTGTCACAGACATTAACTCGTGCATAAAGCGATGCTGTGAACAGGACCAATGCCATGTGGCTATGATGATGGCGGATAAGTGCTACACAGTCTTTTGTACTAATAAGCAGTACTGCCAGCCTAAACCAGCTCCGGTAGAGACACACCACACCAACCCCACAGTGGCTTATGTCAAGAGAGGAGAAATAAGCTTTGGTAATGTATACATTACAGTAACGCCGTTTTTGTTATCCTTTGAATTAATTGTCGAAACGGTGAGATCAAAGGGCCAATCAGAACAAAAGTTAACATCTCCACTAACCAATAAGTATTCAAGGTGAAGAACGGCAAACTTTTTGAAGCGGGAAGACATGTGTGACCAATCAGAATTGATTTAATTTCATGTCCAATTGGTTAGGGAAGTAGTGCGAGTACACTAGACCAATCACAGAGCAAGGTGAAACGAAACCGAAGCAGTTTCGCATCTCTTTCGATATTCCATTCACATCTGCTCTTTGGGGTTAAATGAGTTTAAATACAGAAAACCATGCAACTGAGAGTATAACTTGCTACCTGTTATCTTGTCTCTTTTTTCTTTCAAGAGGAAACTAATTACGTTGGCACAAAATAGAGACATAAATTTATTTATCAAAATACCTATCTTATCATTGTTTTTACGACAAAAAATCCTGCAGCACCTAAACCAAAGTCGGTGATGCCGCAAATTGAAAGATTTCACCCTAACGTAGTGCAAGATGTCGAAGAAGAATATCTTGAAGCTGATGACAATAACGTCAAAGGCAGTATCGACGTGGATGCCAGCCAACGCAGCAGTTTGCCGAGCATCCCAAGTAAAGAGGCTGAAGCAGAGGTCTCTGGGAGTGGAGGCATTGAGGAAGTCGAAGAGTATCAAAGTGGTAGTGGGGACAGTGAAAGTAATGATGATAGCGGTGACCAAAGCGGGTCTGGAGAAAATACAGAGCAGGATGAGGAAAGTGGAGACGAGTCCAGCGGTGAGAGCGGAGCTGAAGACAATGAAGCCGAAGGTAGTGGGAATGAGGATAGCGGAGCTGAAGATAGCGGAGCTGAGGATAGCGGAGCTGAGGATAGTGGAGCGAGCGGAGAGGAAGAAGACAGTGGGGTCAGCGGAGACAGCGGAGACAGCGGAGACAGTGGAGACAGCGGGGATAGCGGGGATGAAGAAAGCGGCGATGAAGATGAGGATAGAGAAGATGAACTTCAAGGACTGGCCCAACTCAGGAACATTCTGAGCCTCAAAGGCGTTCTTTGATCATAGTTACAATAGTAAAACGGTAGTTTTAATGGAATCAACAATGCTTCGTATAGGAGTTTAGTTTTTTTTTTTTTACGTAAAGAAGTAGTGGCTCAGACTCTGAATACTTGGGGATGCGTGTTTGCTGACCAGGCCTTACTTCAAGGCCTTTTGGCCCAAAGGTTGTTTTCAACTACATTCCTTGAGGGAGTGAATTGCTTTTCAGTTTGTGAGAGAAAAAGAGTTAATATCTACCTGAACGCTTACATGATCGAAAAATACAGCACTTGACACAAAATAAAGATCCATGGAATATCACTGTGTTTGCTCCGTTCACCGCAAATTTTGCTTTAATACTAACTAAAGTAAATTTTTCTCTGCGTCTTTTTTTAAAGTCTCTGTTACAACGTGTTACTAGCCTAACTACCTTTTAAAAACTTGATCTAAACTGGGTAAATATGTACAAATTTGGAATTTCACAAATTAAAACCCAATGTACATAATTGGTCACTTAAGATATCTATAATATTAAAGCACGTTAATTAGATTAAATTACAAAAAAAGCATAGTTTTATAATTGAAGATAAGAATGTTAATAAACAAGAATGGATTTTTAGATATTCTAATTTGTTTCTTACTCTTCTCTACACTTGGACACTTATTTAGAAGTTGATACAGGGGTAATGTCCTCTTACGAAACGAAACTTTTTTTTTCTGTCGAATCATAATTTTGAAACAGGAATCTTGTTGTATGCAATGACAAAATTAAGAGGAGGTGACATTGAGAGCGAGTTCAAGGCTCCAAGGTTTATATCAACGATGCTTCCGCTTAGGTTGTCAAAACAGCTTTCCCTACAATTGACATCACACTATGTGACGAGCAATTGCTTCTGTGTCCAGATCTACAAGTAATAACGTGGAACTTTATGATTTTTTTACCGTATAATCTTATGCCCTTAATTTACTTATTCCCACAAATTTTTCCAAAAAATTAGTTTCACAATGATCCCCTAAACGAGCTCGAACACTCTTGACAGAACGTGTCTGCTGTCATTGGTCAATTTTAGAGCAATTGAGTAACTGAAGCCTGCCTTTTGGCTGGTTCGATTCTGTCAATTATGATACATAACCAAGGGCACATTTGTCTTAGCTCAACTTAACTCCATTCAGGTAATGTATGACATTCATTCGCTACTCTCAGAAAAATTCGTCCGAGGCAACCATCCGTAGTAGAAATCTACCACACGAGTCACTTGGCTAGTCAAGCGATATAGGTGCCCATTCGGTTCGATGAATTTAAAGGGAAATTCATTTATATTACTTCATGGTTCAGAAATGAGCGTTACGGTCCTTAACTTTCGCAAAATCACAAGCAGTGGTTTTCTCTTGACAGTAATACGAATAGAGAATCTATCTTCACTGAACCTATTTAAAATGAAGATCACCCTTCGAATTGAAGAAGAAGTTGTACCTAATATCTGCAAAGGAGAAACACAGTAATATAATTGACGGAGAGCAATGACTCTACAGTTATTGTTTCCGGTTGATTTGTTGTTTTGAATTTGCAAGTACTGTTTGCACGGTTTAAAAAAAATATACAACACGTTCTAAGACGGTGAAAATAAAGACAGTTTCTCAACTTACGTCTATCAACATACAAAAAAATGCACTGACTTTTTTACCACTTGAAACTCGTGATAATCTATATTATTTAACGAGGAAAACGTTGCATGCGATTATAAAACTAAGGGGCGAATTATAAAACTAAGTGACGAGGGGAACGTACGTTTTTTGATCCTTTGAAATAAATATCTGTGAAATAAAACCTACGACAATATTAGGCCATTAACAAAACGCTTCGCCTATCGGTTGGGGCGCACCAAACTTCAAACATCAGGTTGAACGCAGCTATGTCTCGGTAGTTCAAGTAATTTGCGAAGAAAAACAAAATAAGACCAAATGATAATAATAATGAAAAAAAAAAAAAACACGAAAACATTACTTGAGGCAAAGTTGACTTAGCCTAATTAAAGTAGGGTGACTCTGGATGCCGTTTTTTTTCTCCTGTCTGTCTGTCACGCAAGATAACCTTTATAATACGCTTTCTTACTGTAACACAAAATCCAATTGGAGATATAAACCTAGCGTATACTGTGTCTGTTACAACCCTCGTCGGCGGTATGTCGATAAGATTTCCGCGGAGGCTGCATCGGACAAGTTAATAAAAAATGAATCTTTGTTTAACAAATTTAAAGCGAAAAAAAAATTACAAGGTGTATGGACTATCAAGATATGTTTTTATTTCTACTATGTCATACAAATACAGGTATTTTGAGGTACCAGTCACTTCCTCCTAACACTCGTCCGTAGAAATTCCTCTTGTATGACGATATTCTTGTACATAAAGAATATCCCGGCGGATTTTACACTTCTAGATCACGTGAGCAAAACACGGAGCATGATTGGACAAAATTTGAGATCTTGATGATGTAATTGTGTTCTATTGTTCGGCGGGATCGAGTTCTTTCCTTGATAACAAAAGAATACAACTCTAATATGGCAAAAACTTAAAAAACAACCCGGTTAAATTAGTAAGTATTTTATTTTATGACGCTATTTTTTCTAAGCTATTTTTTTAGAGAGAGAAATTTGAATGATGTTGCCATGTGAATGAGATTCGGGGCTGTGATGCTCGGAAGAAAGATGAACAGTGGCTTACTGTTCATTTGGTTGTGTGCTCTCTGCGGAGGTAAGTTAACTTGTAGCAGATCGCTTTGCTAAGTTTTCCAGTTGTGTGTGCGTGAAGTGCTGTTCCACTAACATTTATTCGTGTATGAATCTAGTAAAGAGCTCGTCAAACTACCTACAAAACTGTAAGAACACCAAAATCGAGGAGAATGTCACGCTAAAAGGAGGCATAGGAGCAGGAACTTTTCGAAAGCTTGGTAAAGTTACCAGCATGGAGTCTTGTATTGAACTGTGTTGCAAAACTGCGACTTGTGATGTTGCCTTCCTCTCGGCTGCTAAGTGCTATGGAGTCGAATGCGTGAGTGATGACGAGTGCAAGGCCACAGCTACTGATACATCTGATATTAAGGTGCTCATAGCACACGTGCGAACAGGCCATAAGAAAGGTTAGTGCTCCGCCAGTTGAAATGGCGGAGGTAAATAAGCTGTTGTGGGAATCTTTGAACGAACTTGGTTATAGTCGCTGTTAGCCTCATTCCGTAAAATACAGTCCGTTATTCTACATTTAGATCGATATGTGCGGCGTTAATGAAAGCAATGGATTGTTTGAAATTGACGTGGCGTTGAATTGGTGCATTTGTGCAAGAAATCTCGCTTTTGAAAGCTTTCTTCTCCAGATAACTTTATTCAATCTCAAATTTTTCACGGGGTCTGCAGCGTAATGGTGTATTTGAGGACTGATTTTGCGCTTGGGATAAATTTCAGTGAAGCGAGCGATGATTTTTCCGGCGATTACACTCATTAATCTTTGATCGGCTTCAGAATTGAAAGCCTGAAAGGTAGCTAGCCACCCGGAAAGAAAGAATGGTGAAAACAGGTTGTAAGCAAAAGGGAAAGCGGGAATTTCTGCGTACCGTTTCTTCTTATAAAACAAATTCTGCTATGTCAATTTCTGTCTGGTTTGTTGTCTATTGTAGAGGGCAAGATTTACCTCAAAATAAGTGGGTGAATTAAAATCTCTTGAATAGCAATTGGCGATAGCATAAAGAAAACAGCTATTATGGAAAGTTCCTCCAGTAGATTAGAATAGGAAAATATAACCAATACATATAATAGTAAAATAAGGTATGAATTTGCTCCTGCGAATGAAAAACTGCTGAACGCTTTCATGAAACTGTCAGTGACTTAAGAATAATGTTTTTTTCTTAAATCGTTTGATATATGTCAATCAGTTAATCCTTCATGCACACACAGCTGAAAGACTGAGATTAAAAATAGTATGTCGTAAATTAAAGTAACTTTCACAGCCTCATATTTAATTACGAAGCTCTGTCATTTTAACTCCAGCCCATGCTCTTACCGACTGATAAATTAGACTTCATGGCGATTTCAAGTCGAGAGCAAGGGAAAAACAGTCTTAAAAGTCCAATGTAACTGATCTTATTAATGTGTCCATGAGTATTCATTTGTCACAGAGCAGCGGATGTGAATCAAGCTGACAATTATTAAGCCATGAATATATAGTGCAACCACCGAGAAACTATTTCACAGGAAGAACCAGCTTAAACCAAAGGAGTTCATTTTTGCGATAACTTGAATTTTGTGGTTTCATTCGTTTTCAAAATAATTTGAACTTCTCAATTCAGTTCTTGTCCTCAAAATTTCCCGCTTATTCGATGTTTATGCAATATTCCTCTATATTCAGTCGATTTTTTTTCTAGGGGTCTCAATGGGGTGATGGCTTTGACGGCTAACGTTTAAAATTTTGGCCAATTTACGCCTAATTTTTCCCTTGCAGATAAAAGAAAAAAATTACCGTTAACTTTTTTTATCACTCCCTGTTGTAATTTTGACAATCTTCAATTTTTTGGAGGCTGTATTACAGCTGACCGAGTTAATCCCATTGAGAGCATTTTTACGATGCTATTTTATTGCAACTTTAAGCATTGATCATTATGATGAACAAATATTTATTACATTTACGCTAACTTTTAAAAAACTCATTGGCTCTATTCATAAATTTTCGAAAAAAAAATTATGATAATTTCATGAATAATGTCCTGACAGAATTTCTCTTTTATTCGTTTCAGATAACACATCATTAGCTTTTATTACTCCTAACTTCACATCGAATGTTAAACCACATCCAAATGGTTTCTTGGGCTCAAATCAGGGAGGCCTATCTACTAACACGCCAAAAGGTCTCATCGCACAGGGACAAACATCATCGAGCATTGTTAACCCATCTATGGCTGGGCAATGCCAGCCAGGAAAAATTTTCAAAGAAGTGACTTTAAAAGGAGGCATTAATGCCGGTACATATAAAGATGTTGGCTCTGTGAAAAGCATGGAGGAATGTTCTGGTAAATGCTGCGAGTTCGCGGCTTGTGATTTAGCGTTTATGCTTTCAAGTAGATGTTATCTTGTTGGATGTTCAGAAGGCAAAAACTGTCAGATACAAAAAGCAAAGCCTTCTCCGTATCATCCATCTGTGACTTACATTGAAAGATGGAACAAGGAGGGCGTGAAACATTCAGGTATGTTAAATCTTCGACAACACTGCAAATTGAACGCTATTTGAGTGCAAATAGAACAAGATGGATGGTTATTTTTGAGGCTCGAAGCTGAATTGAAGAAAGATTTTTTTTTCGGCTCAACACTAGTATAGAACCAAAAAAAGTGTCTCAATGAGGAATCAAAACTCAGAGCGACAAAGAGCTTTGTCAAAGTTAAATGAAATGAATAGCATTTTGATCTGCGAACGACACAGAGTTGA